CTACTATAACTGAAGCTATATGAGGTATTCCTTAGAAAAAAAATGTACTTAGGGGTAGGAAAGGAACTTGGCACATAATGGCAGAGGCTGGTAAATGAAGCAATGGAGGCTAACAGTAAGCTTTAGACTGCGTGGTGTTTTACGCATAGTTAGGGCACTGTATTTTATTTGTCTTGCCTTATTAACATAGCCTTTCTGAAAAAGCAACGCCTCACTTTAAATAGTTTGTTAATTCTGTCACAGCTTATGTATTTCAGCCATGGGTATCATTCTTCATACTGTAGTTGTTCCTCCATTTTGACTGCCAATGCAGTATCCTACTAACAAGATTAATTTTTTTCTACTTAGTAGCTTGAGTAAATGAAGACTAAGAAAGTTTTGTGACGTCACATAATGGGGAGAACGTCTGCGTCTAACCCCTAGTATGATCACACTGTAGCTAATGACCAGCACCCTGAAAACTGATTCCCAGTTTTGAGTAAATCTTGTCAGTTTGGTTGGTTCTCTCCTCAGATGAAATCTTTACAGTTGCTCAAGCTCTGCTCTTGTTGTCAACCGTGATTTTACAAATTCAGGTTGCCCAGCTAAGATGCTCCCTAACGTCACTGTGCCTACTGAGGACGGTTGTTAGTCCCCAGCTTCTCCCCTTGCCAAGAGAGAAACGAGTGTGCAGTATCTCCCCTTTCTGTTATAACATAATTTTAGACCCAGTCAGATTTTTTTTTCAAATAAAGCAGCAATGACTATTACTAAGAACAGTGTAGCTCCAAATGCCAACCGAAGTTTTTACTTCCAACACTATGAATGGAGTGACTTTTTTAAATCTATGCTGTATAGTTTCTCTTAGAAAGCATCTATTGTGGTGCTGTTTTAATATCCTTCCTGGGATCATTCTCTTCCTATTTATGCATACGTACTAGATGGTAGGGTTTTTTTGTTTTTCCAAACAAATGCTTATTCATCACTGTCACCTTGAATGTACTGAGCTTAAGTTCTGGATCACAGTTACTCTACGAAGCCAGTATCACAATGGATTCCTCTCTTTCTGTTTAATCTTTCCAAGACACTTATGGAAAACAAAACCTGTGCAAATGATTTCAAGTAGTGAAACATCCATGGAACTATTTTGAAAAAAAATAAAAGCAAAGGAGTTTCTACTCAGCATTTTTATTTTTCCTCTTTCAAGACTGTCCACCAACCTGTGGCTTTGTTTTATTTTTATCTTTTCTTCCACAGCACTGCATAATGAATCATGGGGTAATCACAAGTTCAGTCTGACTTTTAGTAGTTCAAATAAAATTTCATTTTCAAATATAAATCTTGTGATCATTCCCACAAGAAACCAAAAACAATTCTAATGACTATATTTTTTAAGTAATCTAAAGTTTTTTTTAAAGAATTATATGTTTGTCTGAGGTCAGTGTGGTGGGAGAAATAACAAAAGAGAGTGTAATGGCTCAATCTTAAAATTTTCCAGCCTTAACATTTAACCTGTCCTACCATTTTCTAAGGGACATTCCCCGCTGGGAAGTTTTCTCAGGGTCATTTGGATTTCTTTTTCTGTTGATCTCTTCTGTTGTGCTGAGTAAACTTCCCATTCTGTATAAGAATCTTTCACTCTGTCTTCAGCGAGTGATCCATCTTAGGAGCCAAATGCCGATATTACACCTGACTATCTTTTTTTGCTCCTTTAGTACTGTGATCCAGTGAGCTTTCAGGTTTTGCTAACTTTTACACTATCCAAATTTACAACTTTATTAGTAGTCTATCACAGATATAATGACAACAGCAGTAAAACAGCCCCTGGGAGTCCATGCAGCATGAATTAATTATATGGCTGAAGGTTCAGGCTTACCCTACTCTTGACTTCATTCTGAGCAGAGAAGAGAATCTCTTGAGTGCTTCCTTAATTAGTTCCTCGCCTTGGTTTTATTCTGAACAAACTAAAAATCCCCGGCCTTAAGGAAGTCTGATTCTTTGAGTATGTACTTTTCTCATGATACCTGCCTCTGAGTTGCAATGGAGATTCCTCGAATGAAATTGTGCCCCTTTTGTGAATATGGTGTCCTGAAATTTCTATGTAACTTTGACATGGCAAATTCACATCTCATTACCATACAGTTTCAGACTGAATCCTGATCCCATGACCTGAAGATTCAGAAGCAGTGTTAGCCAAAGCCTTCACATCGACTCTCACAGCATCTAAGCATCTTTGTTATGGTACGCTTACTGAATCCAATCCCCGTTCAGTCATGTGAATACAACCCTCACACAATTACTTTGACATACGCATTGCTGAACACCTTTCTTTACAGGTTGCCCCACAGACAGAGCAAGTGCTTCATCTTCTGTAGCCGTGGATCGCTTTCCTAGCCACCCACTAAGTGTTTCCAAGTGCAGCCTTTCTGCCCTCAAGAACACTTGACCATCTAATGAAATATGACTCATCCACAGGTGAAACGTGAAACCCAGACAAACTGCATTACGGGATATATTCCAAGTCACATGGCTTCCTAGCAGCAGGTTGGAAGTCATGCCTGGTCCTCCTACTGGCAACAACCGACTGTCTCCACCCTTTTATCATCCCTCACAATGACAACTGTAAGAGAATGTGAACACACGACTCCATCCTATAAATAGCCCTATCCATTACTCCTTGTTGTTCTTCCTAAATCTTCATGACCATCATACAAATCATAGGCTCCAAATGAACCTTACATTTCACTTATGAAGCGAAACCCATCCAAGTATGTGTAAATCTTCATCTTAATCCATGCCACCTGCCAACAATTATTCTTTAAATCACTGAGCTCAGACATTCTAGTCATGTGTGCTTTGTTTATAGTTACAGCTACTCCAGTAGTCAGAGACCAGTTCAAATCCCACCATGAAAAGCTGCTATGACTTCACATACCCAAACCAACTCCATTCTTATGTTAATTTACATTTTAACCATATTAGCATCTGACACCAATTCTAATCTTAGTTTCTTTTCAATCCCCTGAGATGACTACTACTCCTCTCACTTATCTGAAAGACTTAGTGGTTTTGTTTATCCCATTTGCTTAGCTTTATTTAAATACACTACACAACACACTTTCAGTGACTGACTAGTTTGGGAAAGCATAATGAACAGAAGAATATTCTTTATTTGTCCTCACTCTGTGAAAGATATACTATATTTATTTTAAATAACAAATATATATTTCAAATAAGGCAATAGTGTGTAACTACAAAATATGATTCAAGTTTAAGGAAAAGTAGGGGGTCTTATATATTCTTAGGGACTGTTCAACTTCTGTCCTTAAGAAGAGATGAAGTATTTGTGTTCTGTCTTATTTGTACAAGGAGATCCAGAGCCCCAAGCTCTCATCACATGGATTAACACTTCAGCTATTATTGAGTCTGGATTGTGTGTAATGGCTTCAGCTTCTACCTGCAGCTCCTGCAAGGTTTCCCAGAAGCCTGCGCCCTTGGGGTAACAGAGCAGCTGCCACAAAACTGTGCTGCTATCCTGGCACCATACCCATTAGCACCTTCCAGATCTGACGTAAGTGATAAGACAAAAATTTGGGTCTAAAATACAACTCTTTCCAATGCCCTGCTGATTCTCTCCATGTAACTTATCCAAGCTAACATCCACCAAGGCTACACTGCACTTGAGTCGCATTCTAAAGCTTCCCTGAAAGGAAAACAACTGTATTTCTAGCCCACAACAATAGTTTTGGAAAACTAGGCTATCATCTAGAAGATCTAAATTAAGCTTCCTATGCATAGGACAACAAAAATAAAAATAAAAGGAAGTAATCCAGAGAGGTTTTAACATGCACATCCTTAAGCATAATAATAAAAAAAAAATCTATTAAAAATATACTCCACTGACCAGTTTATTGTGAGTCAATTATTCATCCCTCTCCTTCGATTTTAAAATTTTACATCATGTTATTTACCCTGAACTTAGCCACAAACGTAACTATTTTTCACACCTCGATTTTTCTCTAAAAATCAAAAATAACAATCCACTAGAATCCTGCAATGATTTCATCTCTGTTCCATTCTGCATTTACATTTGGGATGTCCACTAGGTGTGACGGAACCAGAGTATATGTCTTCTCTAAAACCTCCATTCGTTTTTGTAAAGCCTTCAAACTACTGAAACTAAAGTCAACAAATCTTACCCTGTCGGTGTAAGGAGCACGATCTTCAAGGGGGAATTTAAAATACCTGAAGCAAATGTTGGAAGTGAGATACTTCTCCCTTTTATAAATGCCTAAAGATTACAGGAAAAGATTTTGCTTAGAGAATATAGATTCACTTGCAGTTTAGGGTGATGTTTACCAAATATCATAAATACTTAATAACAACTGTTCCTAGTGCTTCTAGGAAAAGGCAGTAAAATGAAACATAAACCTCTGCAGCACGAGCCAGGAGCCCGACTCCAAATTTCATTCCTCACCTTCGCCGCCAGACCCCGCTTGGGAGAGCCCAGAGTCTAACAGTCACCAGGGAAGACTCTCCGGAATCCCAAACAGAAATATTATGTGCTCCAGGGAAACTATTAATCATTTAAATGGGGGGGGGCAGCTGCAGTCAAATTCTCAGCCACAGGATCAAGTTGCCCAACTAATCGGTAAGCAGGCTTGGAGGAGGCAGTCATCACACATTCCAATCAAAATTTTTATTTTACACTTCTCCTATAAAGCCTGGGGAAGCTCTAAAGGTAGAAGATGGTTTAACTCCATGATGAAAGGGTAGAGGTGTCAGGGACAATTTCTGAAAATCCTGAACCAGAAATCTCAGCCCAGGATCACAGAGCACGTGTGGCTGACAGTGGCAAGGCTCAAAGACAAGAAAATCCAGATCCCTGGGATTACTTCACCTTGGCAACAACACTCTCCTTTCGCTAAATACTGCCCAACTGCTCCACATGTGAGAATGGCTCTTACAGCTTAAAAGGATTGTAAAGTTATCAGCCTTCTGCACCTCAGAGGCATACTCACAGAATTGATGATCCCTTTAAGAGCTTGAAATCCGCCTTTAACAGGAAAAACTTGGTCCTTGGAATCAGCAATTTTTTCAAGCTTTAGAAAGAAGATGAAAGCTTAAGGGAAAGTTGAAACACACAGCCCTTTATAATTTAAACCCACATCAAAAATTGTTTTGGTTACATCCATCTGAAAAAATACTGCCTATAACTCATTCACTGTGGCAGAGTACATTTGTTTTAATTATCATATGTGTGTGTGCACATATACTCACAAATATACACACAAGACAGTGTCCTATAAATATAAAGTGAAATTAAAATTCAAGGGCAAGAACTGATGGCGAGGAGATCAACTTCCCTCCAGAGCTACTACAGTGAAATGATCTGAGGTCACTGGCTACGAAACAGAAGCAGAGTAGGAGTCTAGTTGCTGTTGGTAGCAGGGAAGTCTGGAATTTTAGCCATCACTCACACAAAAATTTAAATGTAAAATGATCTATGAAAAAATAGGATGATATGAAAAATCTTAAGGATTTCTAAATGGACTCTTCAAATTCCTACACGTGAGAAAATTTCAAATCAGAATAAGAATTCTAGATAAAACCATTACCATTCTCTCACTGACTAAGGGAAAGGGACATTCACGTGGTATGCATGTTAACATTTGTCTTCTTGCAAGACCCACACCAGATAAATACTCAAGAAATTTATTTTGAGTTTTGCTTTCCATAACAAGACCTATGAACATTCTGACATTTTAGGAGAGCTCAAAACACATTCATTTCATGCAAAATCTCCATAAGTCACAGCCGAAGAGCTCATTTAAATACATTTAAAGCAAGTTAGTGAGTTACAGTTTCCAGCTCTGTTGTAGCTCACCTGAGCTTGTTCAAAATCGAGGACCCCAACACAGTAAACACTAGCACCAAGTGACCTGGACTTCTTTGCCTATGAAAAAATAAAAATAAGAAAGGGAGGGAAGGTGGAAGGGAGGAAGGGAGAGAGGGAGGAAGGGAAGGAGGGAGGGAGGGAGGGAGGGAGGGGAGCTCAAATAAGCTACGTGTGCGCGTGTGCGCACACACACGAAGTGCAACAGTGGAGGTGCACACAGAATCAGCTTCGGCACTCACCTCGTTCTCTGCATACTGTGGCACCAGGCCGTCCAGCTTACCATCCGTCAGTGCAATTATGATACTGGAAGTTTTTAAGCCTCCTGCATTTTGAATTTGTTCATTTACCTGAAAATGAAGTATAATTATACAACTCACAATTGGATTTTAACTTTTAGACAGCGCGGTCTATGGGGCTGAATTTGTAGGTGTGACAAAATAAAGATATTAAGGGCTACAAAATAATGCATATACATTTATAAGTACTAATTTATAAAAATGAGCATTTGTGTTAACCTTTTTATTTGCAATATGTGCCTAGTTGTATAAAGTGTCGCTACACTACTCCTGGGTTCCTGTGATGACACTTTTTATACCTATGATTGATTGATTTGAAACTAACCCCAGAGGGAAACAGATTTGTTAGAAGGCAAAATGCAAACAAACTGTTCCTATCAACAGTCACAGTAAATGGTGTTTCATACCAGTCTCATGTCTAGAATGACTAAACCATTGGAAAAATAGACATGAACATGTGAAGGGATTTTTTTCCGTATATAATTAGAAGCCACTCTCTCCCACAAGTCCAAATGTAAAGCAACTTACAAGTTTTAGTCCTTCATGGATGTATGTATCTCCAGCTGGCTGGACAGCTTTTAAATCCTCCAGTCCTTTGTCAATTTTGTATCTGAAAGAGGAGATTGAGCAAAGACCATAACAAACACTTTCTGAGTCACCTAAGTCTCCACCAGTAAGAAACAAAAGAAAAGATGTAGCCTGGTTGGAACTGTTAAGTTTGAACAAGCATGTGTCAACCACAACTAGTTTGAACTGTTCACTTTGCAGAAATCCTTTTTTGTTTTGCTTTGTTTTTGTTCTTGGAGACAGGGTTTCTCTGTGTAGCCCTGCCTGTCCTGGAACTTGCTCTGTAGACGGGGTTGGCCACGAACTCACAGAGATCCACTTGCCTCTGCCCCACAAGTGCTGGGATTAAAGGTGTATGTCCCCAACACCACTTGGCTTAAAGTGTTCATTTTAAAGCTACAGAGAAGGATATCATAAAAATTTTTTTTTGATTCTTAGTTTTTAACAGGGTCAAAAAAAGTGTCTTTTTACATGTAAATCTGGAACTATCAACAGATTTAATATCCTTCAAAAAAACAAAAATAAAAAACAGTGAGTAATGGCCATCTCACTGGGAATGTCTGACAAAAGAGGTGGATTATCATCCTGAGTGAGGTATCCCAGAAGCAGAAAGACACACGCGGTACATACTCACTTATAAGTGCATATTAGACATATAATATAGGATAATCATACTAAAATCTGTACACCTAAGGAATCAGAGCAAGAAGGAAGACCCTGGGTAAGATGCTCAATCTTCATTCAGAAAGGCAAACACGTAATGGACATCTGAAGAGGGAGAAAACAGGGAACAGGACAGGAGCCTACCACAGAGGGCCTCTGAAAGACTCTACCCAACAGGATATCAAAACATATGCTGAGACTCATAGCCAAACTTTGGGCAGAGCACAGGGAATCTTATGAAAGAAGGGACAGGAACTCCACAAGGAGAGCAACATAACCAAAATATCTGGGCACACGGGTCTTTTCTGAGACTGATATTCCAAACAAGGACCACGCATGGAGATAACCTAGAACCCCTGCTCAGATGTAGCCCATGGCAACTTAGTGTCCAAGAGGGTTCCCCAATAATGGGAAGAGGGACTGTCTCTGACATGAACTCAGTGGCTGGCTCTTTGATCACCTCCCCTTGATGGGGTGTACCTTACCAAGTCACAGAGGAAGACAATGCAGCCACTCCTGATGAAACCTGATAGACTAGGGTCAGATGGAAGGGGAGAGGACCTTCCCTATCATTGGACTCAGGGAGGGGCATGGGAGGAGATGAGGGAGGGAGGGTAGGATTGGGAAGGGACTAGAGAGGGGGTTACAGCTGGGATACAAAGTGAATAAACTGTAATTAATAAAAATAAAATAAAATTTAAAAAAAATGATAGGATCAATATCAAAGAGCATTTTGGATTCTTAGAAAGAAATTTCAGGTGTACATTATACGTACATGCTTTTGTGTGTGGCGCATGGTTACCATAACATTAATTATAACATAAAATTAATAAATATATTTACATTTAAATAAGCCATGCACCAGTGTGTCACACATTTTAAAAGTAACTTATTGATTATATTTTAATAGCATTACAAATTTTTTTATCATATACATCCAGGCTCCACAAGTTTCAAAGTCTAAATAAGTCTAACTAAATTTCCTGTTTCGATAGATTCTCCCAAAGGAGGTCAGCTGCCTCTTCTAATGCTTGGTTTAAAAAATCTACCTACTCAAAGCTGCTAACTGATTTCACTACACTCAGCTTCTGTGCATATCCATATTCAAATTTTAAAACGTAGTCTCTTACGTCATTTTACTTAACTAATTAACTTGCCCTTTCCATGTCTCAGTGAGGCTTGAGTTTGCAGTAGCTGCCTCTGCCTTCTATTGTTAATGTAGTCACCTGTTCTGAACCTGCTCTTTACTATAATGCCTCCTGCAAAATAAATGCTCAATAAAACTTTCAAGTCTTCCATAGGAAATAATCATAGTTCTGCAGATGACGCAGTAAACACCACAGTGTATAAGGTCGTTTTGTGTAAACCTTTATGGCTAAGATCTATGGAGACAACGTGAAACTGATTCTGTCTGAGTGCCGATGAATATCAAATGCTTGGTACTTCCCCGAAATGAGTGGCAGTGTGTCCTCAAGCATTAATGTTTTCTGTCAAAAGGGAGAGAGACAACTGATGTGCAAGCTTACACAAACAGAATCTGTGTGGTAAAAATAGCCATCCATTGGCTCAGGCCCACTCACCACGGCATGTGAGAGCCAGAAGCATGAGCAAGACTGAGTAGAAGGAACCCACCAGTGTGGGATTCACAGTCTTTTCCAGCCCCTGCTAGTTCACATGGGGTAACAGAGAACACATCAAGGCTTCCTGTCCCTCATGTGCCTGCCACCTGCAAGCTACTCCATGCTGCATGGTGGTCCTTCATTTTTATGTTACAAAGACATGCAGGGAAAGTGCTCCTTTTCCAGAGCCAGTGACGTGGGCACACATGACACAGACGTGAACCAGCTACAACAGACCAAGACGGGGCAAATATCAAGGGGCTTCAAACAACACATGAGAGTCTCAATCAGCAAACAAAAAGCAAAATGATGCTCTATATAAAGAACAGAATTCTCGAATGCTCAATGCTATGACAAAGACTCTAAAGGAGAATGAGGAGAAATGGGAAGAAAATTAAGATCGAGAAATGGTGGGTCTGTCATGTCATCTTGAAAGCCCCATTTCGCTGGGCATGGCTTTAATCCTGCATCTTCAACTGCAAGGACAGATAATACTGAAACCACATCAGTATTTGTTTGAAGCTGTTGCCAAGGCTACTGCAATCAAGTAAAAGCTGTGAGGCCCCACAGCTGCAGAACTGTTGTCACCTTTCAAGAGTTGCTAAGCACTTCCTTCTTTCTGCTTTTTACAGCTATGTCAACTTTAACTCCAAATGTGGATTCCTCATTTTTCTTGCTCATTGAAAATTAAACAAGAAACAGGACAGGAGCCTACCATAGAGGGACTCTAAAAGACTTTACTTAGCAGTATATCAAAGCAGAAGCTGAGACTGATAATCAAACTTTGGGCAGAGTACAGAAAAAGATACGAAAGAAGGGGTACTTAGTAAGACCTGGAAAGGACAGGAGCTCCACAAGGACTAAATATGTCTGGGCACAGGGGTCTTGTCTGAGAGCGATTCTCCAATCAAGGACCATGCATGGAAATAACCTAGAACCCCTGCTCAGACATAGCTCATGGCAGCTCAGTGTCCAAGTGGGTTTTCCCTAGTAAGGGGAACAGGGATGTCTCTGACATGAACTCAGTGGCTAGCTCTTTGACCTCCCCATCCCCTGTGGGAAGAACAACCTAGCTAGGCCACAGAGGAGGACATTGCATTCAGTCCTGGTGAGACCTGATAAGCTAGGGTCAGATGGAAAGGGAGGAGGATCTCCCCTATCAGTGGACTTAGAGAAGGGCAGGGAGGATTGAGGGAGGAAAGGAGGAAGGGATTAGACGGGAATGGGGAAGGGGGCTACAGCTGGGATACAAAATAAATAAACTGTAGTTAATATTAAAAATTAAAAATTTTTTAAAAGAAAAGAAAATAGATTCTTTTCTCATACAATACCTCTTGATTATATTTTCCCTTCCCTCTACTCCTCCCAGTTCTTCTCCACCTCTTATCCAGATCCACTCCTTTTCTGTCTCGCATTAGAAAAGAACATTCTTCTTGAAGCTCCTATGTCAACTTTTTATCTTGTCCCGACTGCCAAGAAGCCCACAGTAAATGTCTTTGTCACAAAGATAGCTTAGTCACAAAGTTCCTATACCTAGCCTCTTGTTTAATCTTTTCTAAGATCTTGCCTAGAGTTCCATGATTTATCAAGGTATTTATGCCCTAAGAAGACTCAAGCGTGTTTTGGGAACTCTTTATTAAACATCTGTCTATTTGTTTGTTTAATTGAGAACCAGGGAACAAAACCTCATAATTAACTAGAGAAAGGTGAAGAGAAAAGACAAAGAGGAGGGGAAGGGCAGGGGATGAGGAGACAGGAGAGAAGCTAGACACTGACTATTACATGAAACATTGGAGTCTCGAAGTATCACACAAACATGTCTGCTGAGGAGAAAGGAAAGTGGGGAAAGAAAGGGAAGGGAAAAGTGGGGAAAGGTCAGATTGAGAGGGGAAAGGGGTACCTCAGTGTACTATATTAAGGACGTCCTATCTTACCTGATTTTAAAACTGCCCATGTTTTTGGAGGGCTCCTTCCCTTACCGAGTTTACTAGTCGGTTCTACTGGAGGGGTCTGGACTAAACAGGCTTGTCTCTTAAACAATAAGCTAGGGTTTCTGAAAAGCCTGGCATGGCTCCAAATGGACATAGACTGATAGAAAGTACATAAATTAATTTCAAAGCCAACCTTGTTTCCTCAACTGTAAAACATTTTCTGATGGAGCCTTCATGAGAGTTAATGGTGACTAATAAGTGCTCAGTGGCACTGATCACAGCTACTGGTAATGTCAGCCATTTCCCTGTTAGAATAATTTTGTTCACCTAGTTCACCATCTTCCTGACTCCAAGCCCAGCTCTCACAACACAGGATCAAAAGAGGAAGCAGAGACAAAACAGGAAGTAGAGACAAAAGAGGAAGTAAAAGAAAAATGAGAACAGTTATATCAAAGCCTTGTCAAGGGGAAGATGAACTATGTCTGGCCTCCAAATTCACAGGTACCACAACAGCAAATTCAATCAACTGCAGACTGAATTCTTTCTTTTTTTAATGTGCATTGGTGTTTTGCATGCATGCATGTCTGTGTAAGGGTACCAGATTCCCTGGAATTGGAGCTACAGACAGTTGTGAGCTGCCCTGTGGGTGCCCGGAATTGAAGCACTGAGTCCTCTCTCAAGTCCCCTGTATTATTTCTTTAACTCATGATCCTCCTGATGTAACTTCCAGGCACATTAGTTCACAATGTCAACCCCCATGCCCACTTGTAAAAACCTATCATGACTGGGCAGGTACAGGCTTTTGTTCTCATCATTAGTCTGAAAAACAG